AAAAACTGAGTATACAAATATAAAGTATAATATAAAATATATTATTATATAATAAGTGCTCTTTTTAAAAGGATGTACTTCTTTTAGCAAGGGATTAGCCTAATTGCTACTATGGTATGCAAACAAAAAAAAGCAAAAATAAACACTTGCAAATAACAAGAAATATAGAAATATAACCGTTTCTGCATTTTTACCTCACTTTTGTGTAATACAAGTGTCTTTTGGTAGTACGATAAAATAAGCCTAGGTCAAGTAAAAGATTCTTCTGGTTCAGTTGTCACACTGGAAAAGAAATGTTGAGCACATGTGAGTGCATTTTGGGATGCAGTGTACCACACAAAAAGACACTGCGCATTGTGCTAAATGTAGCATATCATCCAACTATTCACCAAACATTCACATAATCTGCACAGTAGTACTGCAAAAATAGTATGCGTAGCACATGGTAGTTTACTATTCCAAAAATAGTGAGTCCGTTCCATACTGTCCCTCACATTCACTGTCAACTTCATCCTAATGGTGAAATTACACAACTGCATGTCTTTCATTGAAGCGCATAATGCATCCTCAGCGTCTGTACAACACAGTTAAGCCACTGTTCAATCATGCCACTGCTTTAACAAAGTTCATAAGGCAAACATATGTAACCAGGCATTCAATTACAGTCATTTCATCAAGCTATAGTTAGCCATTTGAAACTTTATGCCCAACCACTGCTTGATTTGCGGTGATGCAATGAAACGCACAAAACCACCCCCATTCCAGTCACCTTGAACATTGACTAGCCCAGATTTAGTGCTATATTAGCTGTGTAGTTGTTGAAATTCTGCAGTTTCAGTCCCAGAGATGGAGTTGGGCAGAGGTGAGCCCTCGTGATAGCCTGTTTCCCTGCATATGGATGGCTAATGAGTTCCAGGTGTGTGTCAAAGTCTCAGATGAACCTATTATAACATTCATACTGCACTTCATACACACGGGACATTAAGCTGCCCCTACTGAATCCAAACACGCCACTTTAATAAGCGAGGCCAGCCTAATTCAGTTCTATCTTCATTACATTTGACTTTATCAAACTGTTGAAGGGTCTGTGCTCACCGGCTTCATCTGGGATTTTTTGTGAGTTTCTTTTACATTCCAAAGAGGTGAGCAGCCTGGAAACTTAACTGCCTCCAACAAGTTTTTTTCCCCTTCAGTTGTAGTAATTGTGGGAAGTGATTATTGTAAACACACACACGCTCACTCACAGTACCTCATATGAAAGTACACCACCACATCAGGAGAAAACGGCAACCAGATGTGCTGTTAGCAGAATGACCAGAGGAAACACAGACTATTAAAGGTAGAGTGAGAAGAAGTGTAAGTGATACATAGTGCACAGCAAATCACTAGAACATTTTCCATTTACTGTATGCACCATATACACCATAGGCTATATATGTGTGTGTGCACGCATACGAATGTCCATGTATAATATAATTCCTATGTATAATAGAACCCCTACTGGTTAAACTTAAGTAGGAACAATAAGGACATTTCCATTAAAACCATGATTTATACATTTAGAATAAGAAACTATGTTACTGTTGGTTTAAATATGGCAAAACTATGCAATTACGTAGTCACCTGCAATTGCGGTTTTAAAAACATTTGTCATCTTAATACCCTGTCCCCTTGAGACATTCACTTCCTAAACGAATCAAAGACAAACTATTAAGGAGCTGTACTCAACGTAATTGTGCCATCTTTCTCAGCAGCTTGTGCAACATGGCAGATATGACAGTGGAACAATCTCTGCTCTCTTTTGATCAGTCGAGGCCCTCAAGGTATAACCGTCTCTTCTTTCACTGCACACTTTACGCTGTCACAGCTCTTCAGATTTACTGAGTGCTAAAGTGTTCATCAACTCTACTGTATGCAGCCACTAGATTTATAAGGATTGTTTTTTATACAATATCAAATATTTGGAGTACCTTGAGGCATTTGAAGGTGCTGGAACTCATTTAGCTCTTGCGGTTTTCCATAAGTAATAAGAGCTCTGGGACTGCAGCAGGAAGGAGCGCTGCGACTGTAAATATTCCTCATTTACTTGCTCCTCTTTGGGCATTATGGCTAGTTTTCCAAATGTTACATTAGATTAGCCTACACCCTGGCTGTGAGACCAGCAGGGGAGTGACCAACATTAGAGTTTTTTGCCAAGTCAAGCATTACTGTTACTATTGTTTAAACTTGCAGTTGAGGGTTTGTCCAAATATTTAAAGGCATTGTTCACCCAGAAATGAAAATTCTGTCATTTACTCAACAGATATGACTTGCTTTTGTCAGTAGAATGCAAAAGAAGTTTTATTTTATTAACTATGAAAGTCGGTGCAGTCCATTGTTGTTTCGGAACCCATTGACCTTTTTTTCACATATGACAAAAATATTTTGAATAGTTATATACAGGTACACACACACACACATATATATATAGTATATAAATTTCAACATACTTAAAAATGGCCAAAAATATATGGCAAATGTATTTTTGAAATGAGTTCAATAAGTGTTAGTCTAGTTTTATATTTCCTAATTTTAGGCCATTTATATTTGTGTTCTCTACATCGATCCATCCATATTGTGGTAAGGACTAAAACATTACTATTAAACTTCAATTTGTTTATGTAACATGAATGATGCCCCATCGAAAAAGATTTTATTTTTAGGGATTAAAAATATGATTTTTTTTGCCTGCTGGATGATAAAGCTCTAACAAACTCACTTAAAACTCAAAAAATCTAACATCCGCTGCCTCTGGCTTTTTATTTCTAAAATGTCATTTATTCCTCTGTAAAGCTGCATTTTCAGCAGCCATTTCTCCAATCTTCAGTATCACATGATCCTTCAAATCATATACTATTTTGCTGCTCAAGAAACATTTCTTATCGCAGTTGGAAACTGTTGTGGTGCTTAATATTTTTCAGGATTCTATGACGAATAGAAAGTTCATAACAACAGCATTTACCTCAAGTAGAAATCTTTTGTTAAGATGTTTTTAAATGTCTTTACTATCGGTATTGATCAATTGAATGCATCCTTTCTGAATAAAAGTATTAATGAAACAGTTTAACCAAAAATTAAAATTTGCTGTAAATGTACTTAGCCTCAATCCATCATCCAACATGTAGATGAGTGTCTCTCTGCTTCAGATCCTCTGTTCCTACATTCATACGGTATTAGAAGAATACACGCCCCATTTACAACGGATATAAAAAGCATCCGCTGCCTCTGGCTTTTTATTTCTAAAATGTCATTTATTCCTCTGTAAAGCTGCATTTTCAGCAGCCATTTCTCCAATCTTCAGTATCACATGATCCTTCAAATCATATACTATTTTGCTGCTCAAGAAACATTTCTTATCGCAGTTGGAAACTGTTGTGGTGCTTAATATTTTTCAGGATTCTATGATGAATAGAAAGTTCATAACAACAGCATTTACCTCAAGTAGAAATCTTTTGTTAAGATGTTTTAAATGTCTTTACTATCGGTATTGATCAATTGAATGCATCCTTTCTGAATAAAAGTAATAATGAAATAGTTTAACCAAAAATGAAAATTTGCTGTAAATGTACTTAGCCTCAATCCATCATCCAACATGTAGATGAGGGTTTGTTTCTTCATCAGAACATATTTGGATTAATTTAGCATTACATCTGCCGTGAGCAAGTGTTGTACAGTAATGCTAGATTTCTCCAAATCTGTTCTGATGAGGAACAAACTCATCTACATCTTGAATAACTTGATTGTGAGTCATTTTCAGTAATTGCTTTAATGTCTTAAACTCAAAAAATAAATAAAATTGCACTGGACACATTTAATTTCCACATATACTAAAGACTGGAACTGGACTACCATTAAGGTTTTGTATTTAATGAGAGTAATATTTGTTACCAATTTACAGAAATGTGTTTTGATTTTGATATGAAGGAATACACTCTTAAAAATAAAGGTGCTTCACGATGCCATAGAAGAACCTTTTTGTCTAAATGGTTCCATAAAGAACCTTTAACATCTGAAGAACCTTTCTGTTTCACAAAAGGTTCTTTGTGGCAAATGAAGGTTCTTCAGATTATAAAAAGGTAAGAAAGAGATGGTTCTTTAAAGAACCTTTGACTGAATGCTTCTTTGTGGAACTAAAAATGGTTCTTCTATGGCATCGCTTGAAGAACCTTTTGAAGCACCTTTATTTTTAAGAGTGTACTTTCCTTTGATATGAAGGGATTAGACATGTGCCGGTATTCTGTTTCAATCAGTTGCCATTTGAACACAAGTGTACGTTTATACAGAAATACTCACAGTAGTTAGTGTTATTGCAGAGAAATTTGTTTGATATATTTTAGACCTTTCCAACTAACGGTCTAAAACAATAATTAATGTGTTTTAATCTCTTACGATTGATTATTAAATAAAACTTTCCCCTTTTTTATTACAGTATTCACAATATCATAGTTAGTATATTTAATTTATTTACTAGTTTCTATTTATTTTGTTTTTAGTATTTAGGTTTTTATTTCTCAGCACAGTCTAGTGCTATCTTTTGACGTTTAATTCAGGCTGAATGTAAAGGTCTTTATTAAACCTCAATTTCTGGTTTTATAATATGGTATTATAATATATCATATATCAAAGACTCCAATAATTTGTTGCAATTATTATTTTTAACTAGTTTTAGAGAATGAAAATGTATTTTACTTAGGTTTTTATTTTTATTTCCGTTAATGAAAATGTTTGGTCAATAATAATACTAGGTTTGATTGCTATATTTATTGTAAAGTCTTTTTTAAAAAGACTATTTTGTGTCAAGTTAGTAGTTTTTAATGCTTCTTGAAAGGGATCAAATGTAAATAGTGAAAACATTGGATTTTGTGTTGGCCACAACAAGCTGTTAATTTTCAGGGGCAAGTTGCATAAAGATAATCACTATGTTAAGACGGTGTCTTAAGAACTAATTTGACCAACTAGTAGTTTGCAAAGAGATAAATGGTATTACTTTTTGGATTCAAATTAGACCATTCTTTATAACTGACTTTAAAAAGTTATGACCAGCCTTAAAGAAAAAAACGAGATGACTAACTTTTTAAGACTAGCATTGGCCCAGAATATCCATAACAGTGCAGTTCTGGTGACTGAAAACCAAAACCAGCAATGATTTTGCAATGACAAACCTATGCGGCAGTCCTTCGGTGAGCTTCTGAGACAAATTCTACTCAGGAGTTCTGGCTAGATGGAAAAACACAAGTATAATCACAACAGAGCTGTATATACTCTACAGTAAATGACACAGTATACAGAAATATAAATGGAGTTTACTTTGTGAGAGTGCCCCCTGCTGTTGATTTCTATGCTGTCAGCTCTGAGAAAGAACAACCAAACAAACGTTACAATCACAATCAAGTCAATCAGTGATTAAAGCACAGACTATTCCGAGAAAACAGACATGACAGGTAAAATGTCATATATAAGTAATATATCAAATAAGGTATCAATTTAAAAAATCACGTCAGTTTTGTTCTGTACAGTTGATTATGAAACAGTTCAGTGTTTCTGAATCAAATATAAAAAGAAAGATTTATGAAACCATGTGAAATGTGAAACAAAAGGACTTTTAACAAGTTGTTCTAAATGTTTACTTGCACACTACAACTTAGTTTAAACCTTCTTTAGAGAAGAAAGCTGATCGTTTACTCACAGGCTAGCAGAGGACAAGGATCGTGACATCGAGAGTGGGGAAGAATAGGGGATTTTTGTCACTGGGGAAGCTGAAATAAACAGAGAAATGGCACTTTGGAATGGTATAATAACTCACAAAATAGTTACTAGGGCTAAAATATTTTTAACTGCTTACAAAACTGCAGCAGTCTGAACAATCTGTTCATCTAAAAACAAGCAAGCTAAAACGCACCTTGTCTCTGACTTGCTGACTGTAAATCTCGGTTGGACTGTAACACCAGTCTTGAACTGGAATGATTTCAATGGCACGTGTTACATTAATAAAGTACATGTTTACAGTGTTCTCTGCTTCAGATCCTCTGTTCCTACATTCATACGGTATTAGAAGAATACACGCCCCATTTACAACGGATATAAAAAGCATCCGCTGCCTCTGGCTTTTTATTTCTAAAATGTCATTTATTCCTCTGTAAAGCTGCATTTTCAGCAGCCATTTCTCCAATCTTCAGTATCACATGATCCTTCAAATCATATACTATTTTGCTGCTCAAGAAACATTTCTTATCGCAGTTGGAAACTGTTGTGGTGCTTAATATTTTTCAGGATTCTATGATGAATAGAAAGTTCATAACAACAGCATTTACCTCAAGTAGAAATCTTTTGTTAAGATGTTTTAAATGTCTTTACTATCGGTATTGATCAATTGAATGCATCCTTTCTGAATAAAAGTAATAATGAAATAGTTTAACCAAAAATGAAAATTTGCTGTAAATGTACTTAGCCTCAATCCATCATCCAACATGTAGATGAGTGTCTGTTTCTTCATCAGAACATATTTGGATTAATTTAGCATTACATCTGCCGTGAGCAAGTGTTGTACAGTAATGCTAGATTTCTCCACTGATGAGGTGATGAGGAACAAACTCATCTACATCTTGAATAACTTGATTGTGAGTCATTTTCAGTAATTGCTTTAATGTCAAAAAATAAAAAAATAAATAAAATTGCACTGGACACATTTAATTTCCACATATACTAAAGACTGGAACTGGACTACCATTAAGGTTTTGTATTTAATGAGAGTAATATTTGTTACCAATTTACAGAAATGTGTTTTGATTTTGATATGAAGGAATACACTCTTAAAAATAAAGGTGCTTCACGATGCCATAGAAGAACCTTTTTGTCTAAATGGTTCCATAAAGAACCTTTAACATCTGAAGAACCTTTCTGTTTCACAAAAGGTTCTTTGTGGCAAATGAAGGTTCTTCAGATTATAAAAAGGTAAGAAAGAGATGGTTCTTTAAAGAACCTTTGACTGAATGCTTCTTTGTGGAACTAAAAATGGTTCTTCTATGGCATCGCTTGAAGAACCTTTTGAAGCACCTTTATTTTTAAGAGTGTACTTTCCTTTGATATGAAGGGATTAGACATGTGCCGGTATTCGGTAATGCGATATATAACGGTAATGAATATGCACGATATTGTTATCGTGGGCACTTCTAAATAATTATATATTACAAATTATTGAGAATTATGAATGCGTTTTAAGAATACTTTACTAAATACTTAAATATGTAGACTTAATAGGCTATTTATTTTCAAATTTTCTTTACATTTTAATGTGGACTACAACATGCCCTAGATATTGTTTGAAAGTGTTTTGATTCTTTATTGTTCGGTCACACTTTACATTAGGGCTTCATTAGTTAACATTCGTTAATTCATTAGTTAACATAAACTGCCAATGAAAAATTCTTCTGAACATTCATTAATCTTAGTTATTCCAATATTTAATAACACATTGTTAAAATCGAAAGTTGCAACTGTGTTATTTAATGAGCTAACATGAACTAAGACTTGTATTTTTTTTTAACAAAGATTAATAGCTTCTGTAGCAAATGTAGCTATTGCTCAGTGTGAATGTTAATGCATTAACTAAGGTTAACTAATGAGGTCTTATTGTAAAGTGATACCTATTGGTCTTTTAAGTTTTTTTGCACTTTAATCTGTGTAAAACTTTTAACTTTATACATTTTTTGTATTGCTTTATTGCATTTAAATGTTCAGTTACTTTTGTTATAAGAAAAAAGTTATTAAACCTGTTATACTGTATTATGACAGCACTTTTTTTTTAAACTACATTTCAATATTGTGATAATACCGTATACCGTGATAAAAGCATTAGCAATTAATCGCAACATGAACATTTGATACCGGCATATCGCTAGAAGGGATATTATCTCCTTTCATAGATCACATTGACATACCTTTGATTTTGAACAGTCATTTCTAACTTGGATATGTAAGCATTCTGTTCTGAAATTTTCCTGCACAAAATAGAAAACAATAGAAATAAGGCAAAAATACAATAGAAATGGCTGCATTAATGCAGTACTCATACATACGTGGACATCTTCTGCATCTCTTGTTGCATTTTCAGGCCATCCTCCTTCATTCTCTCAATCTGTTTTATTTGACATCAATTTGATTTGGATTAACTAAGCAATATTAGCAGCATCCACATCTACCATATATCCAAGTATCAGAGCCAGTCATGTTAAGGACAAGATGCTCTCACCTTCTGCTGATAGTGGGCCAGTAATCTTTTCTGGTGTCTGGCCTGGAATTGTAAAACCTGCAAAGCATAATAAATGTGACTTTATGCCTTAAATTCACGATTAACATAGCTGCAATCTATTCATTTTATGTATAGGACTACCTTGCTTATCTCTGAGAAGTATTTGACTGCAACTGCACTGATATCTGAGAAAAGCTCTTGCACCTCTGAGCTACTCTATGAGACCAATACACAGATTAGTGCCACAGCTCATTAAAATGAATCTTTATGACAAAAAAAATCTCTTGTAGCTTACTTTATCAGACAGTGGGGAGATCTGACACGCTGCTTTGCAAATGAGGCAGACACCCTGCTTTCCTAAAGGGGAAAAACAAATAGACCCTCTCTGTAGAACGATATTACTTCCAGCAGAGGACAGTATATGCACACATTTAAGCCAGCACCATTTATACCATTTTGAAATCTGAAAATATATCATTTAAATATAATAAAATGTTAATGGTAAATAACACTGTCATATATCACATTAATAATAGTTATAATTATGCATAATATAAGATTATATATAAATACAATGTAAATAATCATGTTATATATAATGTATAATGTTAGTTGAGTGTGCTACCTCTCTGAAAGCAAACATTACAGATGATGTGACCGCAGTTTGTGACCGCCAGCTGACGCTCAGGACCAGGCGACACGAAGCAGGAGTTACAGCAAATCCAGTGAGACATTATTCTGTTTATGTACAACAACATCATCTAAGCTGTGTGCTACAACTTCTACAAGTGAACTGTCTGCCTAACGTTACATAGCCTTTCATTTAACAGGCGCTATACATGTCTAAGATTACTGTAGACCTACCTTTAATGCCAAAACTGCTGCTATCACCATGTACTGTATGTTGTATGCACTCAGTGTTGCCAATTTAGCAATTTTGTTGCTAAATTTAGCAACTTTTCAGACTACCCTATCAACTTTTTCTTCCAAAAGCACCTAGCAACAAATTTAGCTATTTTTAAATTTTATTTGGCTACTTTTAGCGACTTTTGATAAGTGACTCGAACAATAAAAGGCACACATTTTCCATCTAACTTTCACAAAAAGAGGACACTAAAGATGCCTAGCAGTACACACATCACGTGAATTAGGGATGGAGGAGGGTAATTAACTATTGAGCAATGCGAAAACTGCTGATAATACTGAGGGACCTTATACTGAGAGTCAGTTGATGCGAGCTTGACTAGCGTGACCTGCCAGAACTAACGCTTGCGCTTGATTGCTATTTGCAATTGTTCAATTTAATAATAATTTAATAATTGTTCATTTATGATACACCTTGTTGTACCTGTGATTGTTGATCAGTTAGTACACTGTAAGAAAAATATCTAGAAAAATGGAAAAGGTAGGCTTCTAGTAATTTTCCAGGACATTGTCCGTTATCCATTGTAAACCCTTCAACCCGAAACACAAAATACAATGCGTTATTTAAAATGCCGGTAAAAACCTGTGAATTATTTTCTTAGAGTGTAGCATACTGACTACTAATACACTGCTTAAAACTAACTGATCAGAATGTGTAGTTTTACTAGTTCACTAGCTAATAAAAAAAGTGTTCAATAATTCAATGTTGTATATAAAAAGTTATTTATATTTGAACATTATATTATGCATTTATATTATTTCACGAACAAATCTAAATGAACATATACAAATATATTTTTACTGAGATTTGATGTAGTGACAATTTTTGCATTGTGATTACGTAATGACGTCATCACGCAATGACATCACAACGTCTTTTAGCAACAAATCGACCTCCCTTAGCAACTTCCCCTGAAAATGAGTTGGCAACAGTGTATGCACCTGTTATCGCCAGAACACTCTCTAGGTAACGTTAGACTGCTTACACGGTTTTGAGACACAGCCTATGTGTTGCTAGGGTCACACATATTATTTCATAGCAAACCGATCTAACTTACGCTAGTATCATCTCGAGTGCTAGTTTATTCCGTTTAAAGCACTGTGTTTAAAATACACTTGTTTCTCACTTCTGAGGGAAGAATGATTGATACAAAATATGAAAATAAAAAAGACAAATTGATCAAATGTACATCAAACGGGGGTAAAAATAAAGGTGGGTGTATAGCGTTTGAGCCAACTAACGTTAACGTTATACAAAAGAATGTATAAAATGTCCCTGAGGACTTCACGAAAGTTTCCCATAGGTGCTGTGGTCACTAAATCTCTAGAATAAAACACATACCTGTAACTTTTTTGCACGCTATCCAAATGTATATCAGTCGCGTGAACACGGAACTGTATGTTTACTAGTTATCACGCGTTTGGAACGACGACGTCACGGTGACGTAATCGCGCACGCCTCAAAAAAATAAACAAATAAATAAAACAACCAAAGCTGACCGTAGTTTCATAATCATGCTGAATTGAACATTTACTGTTAAAACAATCAAACATCATTTATATTTCTGTTACTGTATCTTCTTTTTTGATGGCGGTGTTGATAGTTTTATTGCATTATTAATAATTACAGTAGTAATTAAAGGGCTTGATATTTTGGTGGAAACTAAAAAAAAATATATATATATATATATATTAAATAAATGTGACCCTGGACCACAAAGCCAAAGTAACAGGTATATTTGTAGCAATAGCCAAAAATACATTGTATGGGTCAAAATTATCGATTTTTCTTTTATACCAAAAATCATTAAGGTATTAAGTAAAGATCATGTTCCATGAAGATATTTTGTAAATGTCCTGCCGTAAATATATCAAAACTTAATTTTTGATTAGCAATATGCATTGCTAAGAACTTTATTTTTAAAGGACAACTCTTAATGCGATTTTCTCAATATTTAGATTTTTCTGCACCTTCAGATTCCAGATTTTCAAATAGTTGTATCTCGGCCAAATATTTTCCTAACAAACCATACATCAGTGAAATGCTTATTTATTCAGCTTTCAGATTATGCATAATTTCAAAAAATGTACCCTTATGACTGTTTTCGTGGTCCAGTGTCACAAATATTCGAGGTTAAACACACTGTTAGAGTGGAATAAAACAAACACACACAAACACATAAATAATAATAATAATACAATATGTAGGTAGGCCTATTTAATAAGGCTATATTATGAATTTATTAAAATCACATGCTCATTGCAGGGTATTGTGCTCAGATGAGGTAATTTAGACTTACTCATTTATCAAAATGCTTCAAACAATGTTACAGTTGGTAATTTCATAAAGCTAAACCAACTTCTTTTCAATGAGAAAGTTTTTGAGGTTTTTTATTTGCCAGATTCCAACAGAAAGGAGTATTGATGTCTGAATAATGGCCCACCACAAAACGTTTCCATTTGTCTCCTCACTCATTTGGCGAAACTTCTCCTCACGTTCCTGGTTGCAGTAAAATAAACAGATATAATCATAATCATGCTGAATTGAACATTTACTGTTAAAACAATCAAACATCATTTATATTTCTGTTACTGTATCTTCTTTTTTGATGGCGGTGTTGATAGTTTTATTGCATTATTAATAATTACAGTAGTAATTAAAGGGCTTGATATTTTGGTGGAAACTAAAAAAAAATATATATATATATATATATTAAATAAATGTGACCCTGGACCACAAAGCCAAAGTAACAGGTATATTTGTAGCAATAGCCAAAAATACATTGTATGGGTCAAAATTATCGATTTTTCTTTTATACCAAAAATCATTAAGGTATTAAGTAAAGATCATGTTCCATGAAGATATTTTGTAAATGTCCTGCCGTAAATATATCAAAACTTAATTTTTGATTAGCAATATGCATTGCTAAGAACTTTATTTTTAAAGGACAACTCTTAATGCGATTTTCTCAATATTTAGATTTTTCTGCACCTTCAGATTCCAGATTTTCAAATAGTTGTATCTCGGCCAAATATTTTCCTAACAAACCATACATCAGTGAAATGCTTATTTATTCAGCTTTCAGATTATGCATAATTTCAAAAAATGTACCCTTATGACTGTTTTCGTGGTCCAGTGTCACAAATATTCGAGGTTAAACACACTGTTAGAGTGGAATAAAACAAACACACACAAACACATAAATAATAATAATAATACAATATGTAGGTAGGCCTATTTAATAAGGCTATATTATGAATTTATTAAAATCAGTTGAATTTATTAAAATCACATGCTCATTGCAGGGTATTGTGCTCAGATGAGGTAATTTAGACTTACGCATTTATAAAAATGCTTCAAACAATGTTACAGTTGGTCATTTCATAAAGCTAAACCAACTTCTTTTCAATGAGAAAGTTTTTGAGGTTTTTTATTTGCCAGATTCCAACAGAAAGGAGTATTGATGTCTGAATAATGGCCCACCACAAAACGTTTCCATTTGTCTCCTCACTCATTTGGCGAAACTTCTCCTCACGTTCCTGGTTGCAGTAAAATAAACAGATATAAATTGCACATAATCACCAGAGAGTAAGTGCAGCTTGGAAAATGTGGACAGATGACACTTGGTCTGGTTCTTATTCTGGCAAGCAATTAATATGGCAACATTTTGTTGTCAGGCCGCCCTGCCTGTGCTTGCTCACCCTTTGGAAATTTTGCTGTCTGCTAATGTAACGCATCTGGTCAATGAGATGTTGCAAGTTGTACTCCATTGCTTTCATGGTGTCTTTTGCCTTTGCAGCATTAGGATCAATGGTATGCTCTCCCATCTGGACATCTAAATGCACTTTCTGTACATACATAGAAAAGTAAGAGCACGGCTAGCTGACATTTTAAGCATGTTAAATTCAGTATATGAGACCACAGCATTTCACGACTTACCAGACGATCTCCAGCGAACACAGAGAACCTGGTGGAGTTGGACTGCATGCACAAGAAATGTTGACCTGAAGCATGGGATGTAAAGGCGAATTTTCCATATCTCCCAAAGCGTTTTAACAAGACCACCTGCATATGACAGAACGTATCGGAGGAATTGTTGCAGGTGGTAATAGTTAAGAGTTTATTGTATAATTCTCATGCATGAAGAGTTGAATGCTTCAGACCGCATGGTTAGGGTCTCTCACAGTCACAGTCAAACCAAGGTGTGGGATATTGGCCTTCTTATGTTCATCCCAGTACTCTAGCAGAAAGACGCCTGAATGGAGAAACATGATACTATAGTCCTTCCTTATTACAACAAGTTTACAGTACGCTATGACCAGTGTAGCTGCTTTGTATGTGCAGAGCACTAAAGTACCTTTACTCCATGACTCACAAAACTGAATACCCTATTGATAGTTGCTGGAATAAAGAATTGAATGGATCATTCGCCACATAATGAAATTTCTGTTATCATTTACTAACCCTCATGTTGTGATTTAATCCAAGTTTTGGATTATAGGAAATAACTATGGTCTGTGTTTTCACTCCACGATATGTAGGTTCCACAACCTTTATATGTCAGTCCCTTTTTAATTCTAGATGCCATGTTACGACATATTTTATTTACTTATGAAAGTACACTTTAGTTGAAATTAAATGGAACCATTTTGGTCAGATCTCTGATCAGTTTAGTAGATATAAGCCCCTAAATAGTCTCTGACCTGATGTGTTTAACAAGAATAGGCCAAATGTATCACACATTTTGCCTCTAGAGTTTATCTTGATGTTTGGACCGCATACAAACAAAAGCACATACAAAAAGTAAACAATAAATGTCCTACACATGTCAAAAGTATGATTTTATTTTCAAATTGAATATTAAATCACCTGTTAGTCTAAGCAGCATATGAGGAAACGTGTTCCGGGACTATTTCGGATCAAATAACTGATTCATGTTGTGTAATAGAGCAAATATGTATAACATTGTATAACAGCACAATTCATCTTCACTGACCTGACACAAGTGTGTCCTCTGGAATCTCCTCAATGATACACTTTTCCTCCTGTTCCCCTAAATCAAAATACATTGCCGGAGCCAAAATGACACAACTGGCTAGCAGCAGGCCTGTCAGCCTCATATTCATTGCTGTAAAACAGTTCATTTTTAAGGTAAGAAAGCTACAAATAACAATAACTGGACACTAGTATAGCTTCATGTGCCCAGCAGGTTTAGTGTGAGAAATCTGCAGCTGCTGTTTGTACAGTCATGTTTAAACAAGGTTAACAGAAAGTCATGATAAGACTAGGGAGAGACCTAAATATGTTGATAGAAATAGTCAATTTATTACATGCCTTGCTTCATAGGCCTCTCTCATCTTTTTAAGTGGGAGAACTTGCACAATTGGTGGCTGACTAAATACTTTTTTTCCCCACTGTAGTTTAATATATAGTAATTAAAGACATGTATCGGCCTGTATACTTGGGCTCAAAAACTATCTTCAAGTCACACTTGAAAATGTTGTGCATTAGAAAACAAAATATCAAACCAGATGTCATTTATTAGAAATACATCCAAATATTTCACAAAAACATTTCAAAAGAGGATAAAGACAAAAAGTTTTGTGACACTTTTGGGTCCATAGTTTATGTCCATAATCATTGTGATGAGCAACATGGGACAAATGGCTTTGAATAGTGAAATAAGAATAAATCTGGCATCATTTGATTTGATCCTTGATATTCAGACATTTTAAGTATGACTTGTATGTCCAAATAGATGGACAGATTATATTGCAGTTATTATCTTTTAGGAAAGTATAATCATTTTTCACACATGCATGACAAATTCAAAGGAATTCAGAAGGATTTATTTATCTGTATGTACAATTTTATATACAGTTTTGCAATTAATGTACAGATATCATCCACTGATGCAACATGTTTTGAGGAGAACAGAGTATTTTTTTACTGAAGATGTTTATCTCAACGATTGAGCTTGATAATGTCAATGGTGTTTTTTTTCCACCAGAGAGCACCAGACTCCATGAACAGTGCATGAGGACAGTGTGTGACACTTACAGCAAACTCAGCCTATAAACTCCTGTTATTAGAGCAAACGTTGCTGCATTGAAAATATAGAATCGGCAGTTCCTCATATTTCACTCTCATTTGTGATACTTATTAACTTGGAATATGGTGCCTAGCCCATTCATTACCATGTTTAAGCTTGTTAACTCGCCCACGACATCATAATTTAAAAAAACAAAGTCATTCCATTTATAATGTCTTGTTTTAAAGCTGTTAACCAGTAGATTGTTCCCTGATGAGGCATGGATGGTAGGTCCTCTTTATATTCACACACAGTTGTCAGGGATGCAGAGCTTCTTTTCCTCTAGGGGTGGGCAGGCAGCCCCATTGTTTGCAGGATGCATGTGAATATAGC